AGGGTTTGAAATATAATTCTCGTGTGTTTTAATAAACAAAATTTGGTCAGATTGGTTTTGCTGGAGACAGTCCTGTGTGGCATTAATGGTTTTTTATAATGTTCTCTATATGGTAATAAATTGAAAAATTTTATTGTTTTATTATTTTTTATAATCATCATTAATTTCAATTAATGGTATAATTCCACCAAATCTATAACTAATGACACATTTTTTACCATTTTCACAAAGCCAATTATATAAAGTCAATAAAACTAATAGATACAAGCCAAAACTTGCTAATAAATGCCAAATAGCATGTAGTTGTAGATTAAATGGTAATATGGATCTAGTGCCTCCATTGACATATTCACATAAATTTAAATCTATCATCCAAATGATTATAGCAATGAAATAAACTAAGGCCCCTCTTTCAAATAAATACTTTATAAATGGGTGAGATTGTTTTTTTGATCTATATATACGTAACATTAATATGAATGATATCAATTCTATTAATCCAAATGAAAAATGAAAAAATATAAATTGTAGATCTCCTTTTGCAATTGTAACTGCAAGTGTACATAATATTGCGTCTGATACCAATACAATTGGCAACCAAATTCCTTGCTTACCAAAATTAGTTTCAATCAATGGATGCATTATCATTAACGCTGACAAAACCATTGGAACCTACAGATTGATTGATTGATTAATTGTTCATTTGTTTAATTTAAGAATTCTTTGATTTTAAAATACTTATTTACTTCATCAAGTGCTTGTGTTTGGCTTGTTAATGTTCCATGAAATAATAAACTACCAACCCCAACAATGGAAATTAATCTAAAAGCTAATTGAAATTGAAACAATTCATTTGATGGATTCATTCTTGCTCCAATTTCTCCAAAAATTATCATTGCTAAACTAGATACTGAATTCCAAAATCTGTGTAGATATTTATAAATAAATAAATTATTTATACGTGGATCAGACTTGTATATTTTATATATAGATACTATATTAATAAAGAAAAATAAATATCTCATATTTACTCTGCAATATAATGTGAATATTGATAATTATTTTCACACCAGTCTACTGAAGATGTTGTTGACCAAAATCCTTCTTTAAGCATGATGATTGATTGATTATAATTATTTATAGTTGATAAATATTTTAAAGTTGGTTATATGATTATTATTATTTAAAACAAAAGAAGAAGTGGACAAGAGAGATCTTTTTGAAGAATGTATTTTTTTGAATCAGAAAAAATTAAAATACATCATTGTCATACATTAAATAAAAGGAAATCCCATAACTTTATCATCAACTTACCAAGGCTACATACACCATCAAACATTATTAAATACCTTCCTCATCACAAATGTCAAATAAGATCGCAGAGTCGCAGTTCATCGTAATACATTGATATTGTGGATGAAGTTGCGCTAGCGAAGCTTTAGACTAATAAATTTATTATGAATTAGTAAAAAATATTTTAGTCGCTATTATATAGTAAAGCTCTAATATTACGAAAATTCATAAACATTTCTCAAAATAAAAAGGAATTTCATATATTACAGAACTTTCACAACTTTGTAAAATTATGTAATGTGATATATAGCGAGTATGGTTCATCCAAGGAAGAATGTGCATGAAGATGAATTTGTAATAGGTTGTTTTATAGTTATCAAAAGTGTGTATATATATATATATATGTAGATAAGAGTCAACCACCACCACAACAAGATATATACTTTTACTACAAACAAGAACAAGTGGCAAAGAAATAAATGGATACAAAAATTATAAATGCATTGCTCTTAGTCATTGTAGCAATGAAGAAACTATGAAAAGATACGAATAATAATTGAAAGGGTTCAAGAACGAAATGTGCAAAAGAATCGAAAATAGTTTTAAACAAGTTTATTATTAGATTGACTATAATATGGCACAGAACAAAGGTTTCTTTAGAAAGTTTCTTCCAAATGGGCATTGTTGTTTTTACAGGAAAAATAATTCCTTAATAAATATTAAGATGTGTACACAGTAAACCACAAATAGTAAAAAGTCTTATCATGTAGCCGTGAGAGCATACGCGTTGAACTCTTTTATTCGTTACCTTGGCAATGAATAAATAGTAGCCAAAGTTGATTTAAAAGAAAAAGTTAATTTAGTACATAGTACACAAAATAACCTCATAGGATGAATGACTCTCATAAATGTATAATTAAAAATATAAAAAATTGATTTTTACTGTTAAATAAATAATAAAATACAATTAGGCTAAATAGATTAAATAAATTAAACAATTAAAAGTGATATGTACCGAAGATTATTCTGACTTCAATTTTCAATCAAAAACAAATGATTATTTGCTTCGTTTGAGGAGCGAACCATTTCCGGTTTATGTTAAGGAAAGGGTGGGGGGAGAAATTAAAAAAATCAAGAAAAGTTTTGGTAGTCAAACCAGAGAAGACATCCGTAGATGCATAAGATTAAAAATATAAGATATCAAAATTAATAAATAATAAAATTTCTCCAATTATTCTAATTATTCTGCCCCTTTTCTACGATTGAGTAAATTGAATGAGCCATTAAAACTGTTGGAAAGTGGATTTCCTAATGATAATCTGTTCAGCTTTCGTTTAGGAACATCATTCATAGACCATCTTATAGAACTTCGTCTCTATAATTTACAAATAAAATATGTTGGTATCCTTTTCCAACTGAAGGCTATAATTACTATTAACAAACAAATTAAAAATTACCTTTTTGGCATCTGCATCTGCATCTTTATCAGAAATTGCTTTTGCAATCATGTATGCAAAACTCATAATTGTTATCATTGGGTCAACCCCTATAGCAGTTGGAAATATACTGGAATCAGCCACAAAAAGATTTTCGACTTCCCATGTTTCTCCAGTCGGATTCACAACTGATTTGATCGGATCATCTCCCATACAACTATTAAAAATAATAAATAAATGTTACATACCCACAAAAACAAATGTGCACACAAACTCTCTCTCACATGTACATTCTCTTTCTTACCAAGTTCCCATTTGATGCATGCTTCCAAGTAAAATTTGATTTGATGGAGCACCAATTTTTTTAACTTTATCAAGATAGCATTGAAATTTAACATCATTCAACGGATTCACATCATCACTAACTTCAAATTCTTCTAATCCGGCTTGGCATGTTCCAACTCTTTTTGCTCCAGCTGCAACAAGTATCTTAAGGCTGGCAATAATACCAGCCACGGCACTTTTGGAATCATGCTGACTGACCTTATAATAAAGCTTTGGTTGTCCACGTGAATCAATCACAATTCTTCCCGCATCTCTGTCACGTGTTATAACAAGTAGCGGTGAAATGTGTGTGTATTCCAACATAAATTGTTTATGTTTAAATGTAGAATTCCATGGAAAATTGGCAGCCATAGATGCAGGATGATGAGATCCTACAACTATTTTTGATCCATAATGATTACCATCTACATTTTCTGTAAAATTTGATACCTACAGAAATTAAAAATTTAATTGACATATATACACACATATATATATTTAAAAGAATTTTTCAAAAAAATTTACCGCAGTCATTATTGAGCCAGAATAAGTATCAATTTGTTTATCAGGAAATACACCATATACACCAGCAGTGGGTTGAACATGTAAATTTTTACCAATATTTTTATTTTTCAATCCACTTCTTAACATCAAAGCAGGCGTATGAATAGCCCCACAAGCTAATACAACTCTTTTTGCTTTAACTTTGAATTTACGTTGTTGTTTGATAATAATTGCCTCGACTCCAACAGCTTTTTGCGTCTTCTTATCAATTAAAATCTTTTCGACATAACAATCTTCAAGAAACTTCGCTTCCGAATTCTTTGCATCCAATAACCAAGTCATCACTGCGCTTTGTTTCTCGCCATATTTACATCCAAATCCACACCAACCACATGAGTGAAATCTTGATGCGGTACATTGAGGTATTGTATCAACTTGTAAACCAAGTTTTTTGCATCCTTCAATCAATATATTGTTACTTTTATTGTGAACTATATTATTAGTTGACACGCCTAATCTACCACTCACTGCTTTCATCGAATCACTATACTCTTTCTCTAATATATAATATAGTCCGTATTTTTTAGCCCATTCTTCACGAACAAAATGCTGCGGCTATATAGTTATTTAGAGAAAGAGATGTAGAAAATATATATTATAATCATTATTAAAAATTTCCCTCCCTCTCAAAAAATAAAAAATCAAAAAAATGGATATTACTTCGGATGCAGCAGACCAACCAATAGTAGTACCACCACCAAAATTAGAACCAGCACTAATAATTACACCACCATCTTCTGACAACATTCCACCACCCATTTCATATAGAGCTTCATAAGAATTACTTTGTTTCAAGGTCAACTCACTCTGTGGCACATGATGACCTTTTTCCATTACAAGTACACTATAACCCTCTTTTGCCAATTGTGCAGCAATAACACTACCACCAGCACCAGATCCTACCACCACAACATCATAATTCAAATCTTCCTCTTCCAATTTCTTTCCATTCGTTCCATCAGCTTCAATTCCTTGGTCAATTTGATCTTTTTTTGGTTTATTTTGTGTATTGGTGCTACTCTCGCCACAAGTGTTGATAACAATACCATCGTTGTTATTGATTTTAAGAAATTCGAAAGTGGAAAATTGACGTGAAGTAAACCGTGAAGAGTTTGCTTCAGGATCTGGACCAGGATAACCGATTAGAGAATTGAATCCATATGGATCTAACCAAAATGTAGAACAAATGAAAAATGTAAATGTCCTGAAAAGTTCTCTGGTAGAAGCTGTCGAGTGTGTACTCCATTTCAAAATAACTTGTTCTTGCTGTTTCTTTGTGAGTCCATAAAATGGTTTGTTATAATTGGCAATCTGAGCATTTATAAAACCTTTAGATCCAAGTTTTTTCAACACTCCACTGATGTGCGCTAATTTTTCAACTGTTAAACATTTTGATAAACGATCTAGAACACGTTCAATAAATTCATCTGAATTTGATAAATCAAATTTAGCAAATTCACGTATTTTTTCTGAATTTTTTAACATCATCATAGCACTAGTATTAATAGAATATCTTTTAGTGGTGGCAGAGGTGGAGGGTGGTGTCGAGTTTTCAGTGTTAAAACATAATGAATCTATTTCAGAATCATCAAGACATCCTATCAAAGTACCACAAATCGCCTTTAGAACTTTGGTTTGTTTCTCACTAAGTTTCAGAGTATATCTTTGCCCATGATGATAATTAACAGACTTCGTTGATGTTGTTTCTCCATGGTTGTAATCATCAGTTGCAACAGAATTATCGTCAATTTCTGACATTTTTTAAATTTTTCTTGAGAAATTATTGTATTTTTTTTTTTAAATAAATCAAAGGGAATGAATTTCATAAAATAAACCATTTCTTACCTTCTTACACTTATTTTTTTCCAAGCCAGTCATAATAAACTTTAAAAGTATACAATCCCATATACAACTCATACATAATAACGTCGATAAATAAATAATTAAATAAATAATTAATTAATTAATACCCGAGCAATTTTTCAAAAAAGCAATTCATAGAGCAAAATTTTTTAGATAAAACTTTTCCAAATTAGGAAATAAAAAATCGGCCCATTTAAATCTTGAACAAAATAGGCACTTGCCCCAGAGTTACAATTAATTTTCATCAAGTAGAAAGATGTCTATAGGGTTATTGTTGGCATGTCATCCATAATGATCTAAAAGATATACTTGTAAAAAATAAATGAATATTTAGTTTACATATCCCGTTTTCGGGTTCACCTTCCCACGTATATATTCATGCATGCACAATTATTGCTACTACGTGTCATACTGCCATACTGCTTGGATGATCTACGGACACTTCAAAATATATGCCATTTGTAATTATTCTTTAAAAAAATTTGGCAGAAGCAGAATTGGAAAACATTCGTTCTATACATATATATTATAAAGATACTAATGCTATGTACAAACAGGGATTTTCTATAAAAATCAATTGTAAATATAACATTTATTTATTAAAACTTATATAGGGTATTTTTTCCTATGAACGTTCCCTTCTCTAATTATTGATTCAAGATGCTCAAACTTGCATGTTTTTATTTCATAAATATAAGAATGATTGGAAACAATTAGTACAAAAAAGAAATTATTCAAAAATAAAAAAGATTTATTTTCATGAAAAAAGTTAATAAAATTAATTTATATATATGTTTTATTTTGTTGTCTCCTACGTTCTAACATTCTACCAACGCAACGTTTAATGGTGACTCTCTTTAATTTTTTGATTTATTTCAGCTAGATTATAAATAAATAGCATTAAAATTAAAGCAAGTTATAGAAAATTGTAATTTTTAATTGAAGAAACTTCTTACCTCTAGGATTTCGAACATCAGTATCATATGGAGGTTCTAAACATATAAACAATCATTAATAAGTATATAAATAATATTCAATCATCCTCACCACTAACATCATCGTCTTCCTTTATTAGCAAACAAAATAATCTAATCACCTTGTTGTAATTTGGTTTCAAGTTTAAATACAGCATAAAAGATAATTGCCCCACTTGCAAGAAAAGGTGCTAATGGTCTTACTATTGGCGTGGGCCAACTACGAGCTCCAAAAAATGCCATATCTACTATTGATTAATGTAATTGATGTTGATTTTGTTTGTGTATGTGATTTTGAATCTCCAATATTTATAAAAAAAAAAATTTATATTTTTTTTATTTTTTTTAAAAAAAAATCTGCTACCCCAAAATTGTGTTGTATTACCAAAAAAATAAAATTCAAATGTTTCCAGGATCAAGTTTGTTTGATGATGAAGTCACTTCAAAACGTATTAAATTAGATTTAAAAGAGGAAAAAGAACAACAACATGGTTCAATCTCTAATTTTCCAATTCCGTATGAAATAAATGATTCAGCAGAAACCGAAGAAAAATTAATACCAATTAATTATAATTTTGCTAAACATGGAAAAGATTTTATTTTTCCTTCACATTCAGACCTCACACATAAATCTGCTTATTCTCAACAAAATATCAATTGAGTGAAATCTTGATGCGGTACATTGAGGTATTGTATCAACTTGTAAACCAAGTTTTTTGCATCCTTCAATCAATATATTGTTACTTTTATTGTGAACTATATTATTAGTTGACACGCCTAATCTACCACTCACTGCTTTCATCGAATCACTATACTCTTTCTCTAATATATAATATAGTCCGTATTTTTTAGCCCATTCTTCACGAACAAAATGCTGCGGCTATATAGTTATTTAGAGAAAGAGATGTAGAAAATATATATTATAATCATTATTAAAAATTTCCCTCCCTCTCAAAAAATAAAAAATCAAAAAAATGGATATTACTTCGGATGCAGCAGACCAACCAATAGTAGTACCACCACCAAAATTAGAACCAGCACTAATAATTACACCACCATCTTCTGACAACATTCCACCACCCATTTCATATAGAGCTTCATAAGAATTACTTTGTTTCAAGGTCAACTCACTCTGTGGCACATGATGACCTTTTTCCATTACAAGTACACTATAACCCTCTTTTGCCAATTGTGCAGCAATAACACTACCACCAGCACCAGATCCTACCACCACAACATCATAATTCAAATCTTCCTCTTCCAATTTCTTTCCATTCGTTCCATCAGCTTCAATTCCTTGGTCAATTTGATCTTTTTTTGGTTTATTTTGTGTATTGGTGCTACTCTCGCCACAAGTGTTGATAACAATACCATCGTTGTTATTGATTTTAAGAAATTCGAAAGTGGAAAATTGACGTGAAGTAAACCGTGAAGAGTTTGCTTCAGGATCTGGACCAGGATAACCGATTAGAGAATTGAATCCATATGGATCTAACCAAAATGTAGAACAAATGAAAAATGTAAATGTCCTGAAAAGTTCTCTGGTAGAAGCTGTCGAGTGTGTACTCCATTTCAAAATAACTTGTTCTTGCTGTTTCTTTGTGAGTCCATAAAATGGTTTGTTATAATTGGCAATCTGAGCATTTATAAAACCTTTAGATCCAAGTTTTTTCAACACTCCACTGATGTGCGCTAATTTTTCAACTGTTAAACATTTTGATAAACGATCTAGAACACGTTCAATAAATTCATCTGAATTTGATAAATCAAATTTAGCAAATTCACGTATTTTTTCTGAATTTTTTAACATCATCATAGCACTAGTATTAATAGAATATCTTTTAGATCATTATGGATGACATGCCAACAATAACC